AAACACAGTTGGGCGCCAGTGGTCACACTATAATCCCAGCTACTCAGGAAGCAGAGATGGAGGATCAAGATTTGAAGGCAGCCCTATCTTGAAAAATCCCATCACGTAAAAAAAGGGCTGGTGGAGTGGCTCAAGGTGTAGGCCCTGAGTTCAAACCCCAGTACCACAAAAAAAAAAAAAAACAAAAAAAACCCCACAGTTCAAGAACAGCCCTTGGCAAATACTTCTAGAGACTCTAACTCAAAAAACCTAGCACAAACAATAATCTCTTCCTCCCCAGCCCCTACCCCACTACCCAGGAATTTGTCTCATGGGCATGTGGAGGCTGTATAGACAAGCCTGAAACCCACAGAACAGGCAGGCCCTCAGGAAGTACAGACTGCAACTCCAGGGTGCAGAGACGCTTCAGCTTTACTCCTAAGGCCTGTCAATGGACTGAACCAGCTCACCCAGACTGCTAGAACAGCCTCCCTTATTCAAAGACAGCTGGTTAGGGACCTTAGTCACTTGTACAAGCCATCTTCACAGAAGCCCCAAGATTAGTGATGTTGTGTACCTGGGACTGTTGTGTTGAGATGTGACACATCCAACTGACTGTCCTAAGAAGGCCATTGGCTGTGCAAGGAAGAGGACTCTGGAGCCACAGTGGCAGTATTCCAACTCCAGCATACAAAAGGGAGATCATAACAGCTCCCACCTCATGGGGTTACTGTCAGGACAGAATGAGTTAACATGAGTATGCTGGGCCATCCTTGTAAGCATTATGTAGTCACAGCTGTTCATTAACGGGAAGTGACTTGTTATTTCAAGGGAGAAATTCACATTGATGTCAGTAGTTTTGCAGCTGAGCATACAGTCTGCTCCTATCTATTTTTGGGATCCTACAGAACCCTGGGAGTTCTCTCTGCTCAATGCCACCTCAGGGAGGCCTTTCTAGACCTTCAAGTCTATAACAGCTTGCCCTTGCTCTTTTATTTTTTTGTATGTACTTTAAAAAAATTAGTGTAGATTAATTGTGCAAAGGGGGTTCCCTATGGTATTTCACACATGCATATACTGTACTTTGATCAGACTAACACTGAAATCTCAATGGTGTTTTGATTTACATTTTCTTTATGGTCAGGGATGTTGAACACTTCTTCATGTATTTATTAGTCATTTGTACTTCTTTTGAGAACTGTCTGCTCAACTAATTTCCTATTTTATGAATTGGGCTGTTGGTTCTTTTGGAGGCTAGTTTTTTGAGTTCCTTGTGTAGTCTGGTTACTAATCCCTTGTGAGAAGACTATCTGGCAAAGACTTTCTCCCATTCTGAAGGCTGTTTTCATCCTAAGTGACTGTTTCCTTTGCTGTGCAGAAGCTTTTTATTTTGGTGCAGTCCAATTTGTCAGTCCATGTTCTTACTGAGCTACTGGAGTCCTATTCAGGAAGTTGTTGCCTATGTCTACCTTCCAGAATTTTCCCTGTAGCACTTTCCAAGTTTCAGGCCTTATATTAAGGTCTCTGATTCACTTTGAATTGACTTTGGTACAGGGTCAGAGACAGGGATAGTTTTTCTTTTTGGTGGGGTTGAACTCAGGGCCTTGTACTTGCAAAGCAGGCACTCTACCACTTAAGCCACACCTCCAGTCCATTTTGCTCTGGTTGTTTTGGAGATTGGGGTCTCTTGAACTATTTGCCTGGGCTGGCCTCAAATTACAATCCTCCCAATCTCAGACTCATAAGTAGGCATGATTACAGGTGTGAGCCACTAGTGCCCAGCTAGCTTCACTTTTCTACATGTGGATATCCAGTTTTCCCAACACATTTGTTGAAGAGGCTTTCTTTTCTCAATGTATGTTTTTGGCACCTTTGTCAAAAATCAGCTAGCTCTAACTATTTGGGCTTATTTCTGGGACTTCTATTTTATTACATTGGTCTATGTGTTTATTTTTGTGCCAGTGCAATGCTATTTTTGTTCAGAATTTTTTTGGCCATTACAGGTCTCTTCTATATAAACTTTAGTTGTAAAGAATATCATTGAAATTTTGAGGGGGATTGCATTGAATATATAGTTCTTGGTAGCACAGCCATCTTCACAATTGATTCTGCCAATCCATGCATATAGGAAGTCTTCCTTCTGCTAGTGTCACCTTTCTTCCTTCAGTGTTTTACAGTTTTCATTGTAGAGGTTTTCTACCTCCTTAAATTTATTCCTAGGTATCTTTTTTTAGAGGCTATTGTAGTAGGACTATTTTTCTGATTTCTTGCTCTGCCTGTTCATTGTTGGTATATAGAAAAGCTACAGATATTGGTATAATGATTTTGAGTAGTACTGGGGTTTGAACTCAGGGCCTGTTGTTGCTTGATAAGCAATTGTCTACCATGTATATTGATTTTGTATCCTGCTACTTTCCTGAAAGTGTTTATGGGATCTAAGAGGTTTTTGTTTGTTTGTTTTTGGTGGAACTTTTAGTGTTTTAGGTATAAGATCACAACATCTGCAAATAGGGATAATTTGACTTCTGCCTTCCCTATTTGAATCTCTTTTCTTTCTTTCTCTTGCCTGTTGCTCTGGCTAGGAATTTCAGTATGATATTAAATAGACATGGGGAGAGTGGACACCCTTGTCTCATTCGTGACTTTGGTGGAAACGGTTTGTTTTTCCCTGTTGAGTATGATTGGCTATGGTCTTTATAATACTGACGCACATTCCTTCTGTTCCTAGTTTCTTCAGAGCATATATCATGAAAGGATGCTGAACTTTTCTGGTGGTACTGACATTTGAACTTAGGGCTTCATGCTTGCTAGGAAGGCACCTGAACCATGCATTCAGCCCTTTTTTTGTGTTATAGGGTCTTACTTTATGCCTAGGCAGGCGTGAACCATGATCCTCCCATTTGTGCTTCCCCGAGTACCTGAAGATTACTGACATGTGCCACCATGTCTGGCCACTGGTTGAGATAGTCTCATGAACTTTTTGCCCAGCCTGGCCTTGAATCACAATTCTCCTGATCTCTGCTAGGATTACAGGCTTGAGCCACTGTGTCTAGCCGAGATGTACCATAAATACCTTTAAAGGGTTTTTTTTATGACTTTTTCTTTTTTTTTTTTTTTTTTTTTGCAGTACTGGGGTTTGAAGTCAGGGCCTTATGCTTGCTAGGCAGGTGCTCTACCACTTGAGCCACTCTGCCAGCCATTTTTTATGTTAGATATTTTGGAGATAGTTGCCTAGGCTGGCCTAGAATGGCAATCCTCCTGATCTTTGCCTCAAGTAGCTAGGATTACAGACGTGAGCCACCAGCACCCGACTCTTAATTCATTTTTTTATCTTCACCTTCCACATCTAATCCTTTAGGAAGACCTATCAATGCTACTTCCAAAACATTCTTAAATCCATATTATTCTCCATCTTTACTGTCACCTCCTTAATTTAAGCATCACAGTTCTCTCTCAGCTGATGATTCCAAGTCTCCTAACAGCACTCTTGTTTGCTTACATTCCATTCTCTATACAGCCCATTGAGATTTTAAAACATGAATCTGATTACTTTTTAGCTGAAAACCTCCCAGTGGTTTAGCATAAAACCCTAAGTTCTTACTATGACCACTCTACTCCAGCTCTTGTGAAATCATTCAAGGCCTGGATATAAATTCCTTAAGTAACAAAATACTCCTCTTTCAGGAAAACCTCCAGAATCCACTCAAGGACAGTCAATGACTTTTTGACTTTACAGTAAAAGCTCAAAAACATATGCTCAAAAGTCCTCAAGCAGAACATAATTATTTTCTAAAAAGAGACAGATTGAGAAGAGTAATGATGACCATCTATGCTTGAGCAAAAGAACCCTAAGCCCCACCCCTTTCTCCTCATTCTATCAAGCAACTTGTCCCCCTCCCTTCCTATAAATTCCCCAGCTACCAAACTATCTTAAAGGAAAATGCCAGTTGACCGTGCAATAATTTTTTTTTTTTTTCAAAAACCTGACACCACTGTATTGGCTGTTCCATGCCTGTCAGGCTGTGTGCCACTGTTCTGTGTCACTTGCTACTCCTGATTACATTTAGATTATTTACTTCCACCTTAAGACTTTTGCATTTGCTGTTTCATCTATCCCCATATCACTTCTTAGATTCCAACCGTTTTTTTTTTTTTTTTTTTGGTGTGACTGAGGTTTGAACTTAATGCTTCACAGTTGCAAAGCAGGCATTCTACTGCTTGAGCCACGCTTCCAGTCTATTTTGCTCAGGTTATTTTGGAGATAGGGGTCTCTTGAACTATTTGCCTAGTCTGGCCTTAAACCACGATTTTCCCGATCTCAGCCTCCCAAGTAGTCAAGACTACAATTGGGAGCCACCTCTGAGAGGTGTCCCTTGACCATGGACATCGGGTTATTCTTTCATGATCCTGCTGGCTTTTTCTTCCCAGCATACGCTCTGTCTTTTTCCTGGAAGATGTAGGAGCAGATGCCGTGCCTGTTCCTACTGTTCTCCAGTGTCCAGTAGACCTGGCACACAGTGGTCCTAAGTGAGAAACTGAGTGGATGAATGGAGAACCACAAGAGTGATGGGCTAAAGGTCCCGTAAGATCCTGTGTTGGGCCCTGGATGTAAGGAGTACAAACCTGGTTCCAATTCTGCTTTGACCACTTCTCAGCCTGAGGGCAAGTGAGTTCAGCCCTCTGCGCCCGAGTTACCAAATCTGCATTCGGGGAGTAGGAACATGTCTACCTCACGGCACCTTACAAAGATGAAGGGGGTAACGGAGGAAAGGAGCTTCCAGGAAGGGCAACGCTCCGTAAGGAGCTACTATAGCTAGTAAACACAATCCCGTTTCCTTTCGGCAGGCCCCAGTTCCCTCTTCTCTGTCACCTGCTGAATTCCAGGGTACCTTTCCACAGGGTGTTTCCGCGACTGGAAGTCTCCCTCTCAGCTTGCAGATAAAGGGCGACACCCTAACGCACGCGCACCACTCGCGTCCGGCGGCGACCTCCGCTGGCTCCGCCCAGTCGGGCCTGACGTCATTAGCGGGGCGCCAGCGCCGCGGAAGGCCCAAGGGCCTGTTCTGCGTGCGGCGCGCCTCGGGGAGACCCAGGCGGGCGCCTGCATATCAGCCGCGCGGCTACGGGGCGGCTCGGAAACCCCAGCGGACCGTGGCGAGGGGCGCGTGGAGCCGTGGGGTCGCGGAGCTGGGCGGCAGCAGGGACGGCTCCGAGCATCACCGGGGTGGGCGAGCGGGCGGCCGGCGGGGCTGCCCGGCGCGGGTGTCCCGGCGATGAGTGGCGCTGAAGCGGCGGCGGCGGCGGCGGGAGCAGCTGCGGTAGCGGGCTCGGTTTCGGCTTCGCAGCGGTGCCGGCGGCGGAGGCGGAGGCGCAGGCTCCTTCTAAGGACCTGGCGAGCCCAGGCCTAAGCGACGGCCCCGTGAGGCCCTTGCACGGCGCCCCGGGCCGGGGCCCTCCCAGCTTCGCCCTGCCCCGGGAGCCTGCCTCCCTGGCCGGGGATGAGGCCGGGAGGAGGCTGCTGCGCGGGGCCCAGGACAAAGGCTTGTCCCCAGGGGCCGCCGCCGCCAGCCTAGCGCTGCCCGCCGAAGCCGAGGCGGCGCCGGGGCCCTTGTCTCCGCCGGTCCCCAGAAGCGGCTGCTGCCCGTCCCCCCGAGGCTCAGGGGCCCGAGCTTCGAGCCCTCTGCTCCCTCGGCTGCTAGGGGACCGGGCAGCTGCGCAGACTCCGCCGCTCTGGGCTGGGGGTGCCCAGCGGAGCATGTCGGAGGAAAGCGACATGGAGAAAGCCATCAAGGTAAGGGGGAGATGCCACCTCCTCCCCCGCTTTGTCCTGCGACATTCCTCTCCGGCGCACTGTCAGAAAACCAAGAGAATTTGGGGTTTGAGGTCCCCGGATTCCTTGACGGCGTTTGACAGCCCCAGGCGAAGGGTTTGTGTGTCTGGAGAGTGGGATGTCTGACTCCTCCACCCTCCCTGGTTAAGCTGGGTGGCGTGGAGGGACTCGGTGTGAGTGAGACCAAGGGGGCCACTACTGCTCCTCGTTTCCGTCGCTCTTGGACAGGGACTGTCACCTGCCCCTCCCGATGTGTTCTAAATCAGCCTCCTCTAAGTCTGCAGTTCCAGAAGTACCTGCCCTTCGGGGAAGAAAGAGATCGTTCTGACTTTCTCTGCTTTCTCTTCTCCCTTTTCTCTTCCCTCTCCTCCTAGGGAATCATTATTTAGGAAGAGTCAACAGTGTCTTAGGGCTTACTGCTCTGTTACCCAAAAGCAAAGCAAATTGTGTTTTCGAATGACCCAAATAAAATGACAAATTTTCTAAAACCTGTTTTCCACTTTCTTCTTTTTCTTCTTTTTTCTTTTTCTTTTTTTTTTTTTTTTTTTGGGAGGTACTTGGGATTTGAATTCAGGGCCTTGCATTTGCCAGGCAGGCGCTCTACCACTTAAACCACACCTCCAGCCTCCGTTGTTTTTTGTTTTTTTCTTTTAACAAGCAAATTTTATGAGTCAAGTTATGTGCCTTGTCAGTTGTAGTTAGGATATTAGTTAAACTGAACACTGTAGCTTAATGTTTGATGAATTATTTACTCATTTTACACTGTTCTGTCAACCAGTGCACTTAAGAACTTAATTTTCACTTGCGGGATCAGCATTTATTGGCAGCTGGGGGTAATTTTTCTCTGTAAGATACTTCACTGTACAGTCACCTTTACTTTTAAGAATTTACACTTCTAACAATTTTTGAGATGAGATGGAATATATACATTATCAAAATCATCAATCATTCCTAAGAAATTTAACCTTTTCTCTTTTTTTTTTTTTTTTGTGCCTTTTGTGGTGTTGGGGATTGAACTCAGGGCTTTGCACATGATGGGTAAGTGTACTACCGTTGTGCTACCTGACCCCAGTCCTTAGTTTTTTGAGACTGGGTCTGGCCTTGAACTTTTAATCCTCCTGCTGGGATTATAGGTAAGTACCACCATGCTGGTGACATAAAACATACACATTGGACTGTATATGTAGCTTAGTGGTAGAGCGCCTGCCTACCATGTTCAGGGCCCTGGGTTCCATCCCTAGCACTGCAAAACAAAACACATTAAGGAAGATCAAAATTTAAATAATAAAAATAAAGGTTCTAAAAGACTGCTTTGACATGTCCATGTTTTTCTCCCTGGTTCAGATTTTATTGATGCAGAATCATGGTTTGCTGCCTAAAGTTAAATGATTAGGTTGTGGCAGATTTTTGAGTTGTGGCAAGTGCTGTCTTGGGCATAAGTGTCTAGTCTCATGGAGCTGATGGTGGACTTAGGTAATAAACATAGCCAGGTGATTATAATAAGACATACATGCCTGGAGCTGGGCACTGGTGGCTCATGCCTGTAACCCTAGCTGCTCAGGAGGCAGAGATCAGGAGGATCGTGGTTGGAAGCCAGCCCTGGGCAAATAGATGGTGAGACCCTATCCCGAAAATACCCAACCAAAAAAGGGCTGGTGGAGTGGCTCAAGAGGTAGGCCCTGAGTTCAAATCCCAGTATCACCAAAAAGTGAAAAGAAATTACAGGGCTGGAGGCATGGCTCAAACAGTAGAGTGCCTGCCTAGCAAGTGCAAGGCCCTGAAGTCGCCCCTTAGCATCACCAAAAAAAAAAAAAGAGAAAAGTAAGCATTTTAGTAGGGCAGTCAGGGAAGGTGTCTCTGAGGGGGTGACACTTGTTTAGGGCTCTAAAGGAAATAAGAGAGGAAGCCACCAGCTGTCTCAAGGAAGAATATTAGAGACCTTGGGAACAGAAAAAGAGGGTCATAGTTCTTGTGTTAGTATACAGAGCGGGAGGCAATGTTAGTGGTTGTTAGTTTCCCTAGATAGACTCATGGGTTTAAATCCCAGCTTTGCCACTTACGAGTTTTGTGTCCTTGTGTAAGTCACTTCATTTCTCTGTCCCTTAGTTTCCTATCTACAGAAAGAAAATAAGGTGTTCCTGAGCTCATAGGAATTTTTTCAAGGATTAGCTGGGCAAATGTACCAAAATGTATTTACAATAACAGCTAGTGGCTCAATGACTATTAGCTTGTAGCAGCTTAAGTATGATTTAGGAAGAGTTGTAGTTCTCTTCATTTGTTGACATTGTCCAACTTAATTTTCTGAAGTTTCAAAACCACTGCTGCATTAAAAGTACTTGTCACGTCACTGGTGACTCTTTCTATTAATTTGGGCTTGTCTAACCAACACAATTTGGTGGAGTTGAAAATACATGATCTGGCAACCAGTGCTGAGTAGGAAGTTCTCCTTTGGAAGCAAGCCAACATTGCATGAAATAAATATCTTGTGGTCTATTGCACCGTGTTACGTTTATTGTGTTAATCAAGTGGGAAGCACTGAGACCTGCAGAGTTGTTTTCCTGGACTTTAGCCATAGCACTTGAACTTTTCTGTTGCCTTACTCCCTGAGAACAGATTGATTGGACTTTTAAGCTCTCATCCTATTCAGTTTAAAAATACTAGGACAGTACCGAATGGCTATAGCTGAGGTTCTGCGTCCCATCTCTGTCTCTGCTCCCACTGTCCATTACTTAAAACTGCTGCCACGGAACTTAGATCCACCTCCAGAATGAGCATCTTGGGATCAGGGGATCTTACATGTGGACACTGTAACGTAGAATAAGCATCACTATGTGATGGAACTTAGTAAAAAACTCATTTGCTTAGTTTAATTCTTTTTTTTTTTTTTTTGAGGGGCAGGAATGGGATTTGAGTTTGGGGCTCTGTGCTTGCAAAGCAGGCACTTACAAAGATGGAGATGCGGTCTTGCGAACTGTTTGCCAACACTGACCTCAAACCTTGATCTTCCCAATCTCAGTCTCCCAAGTAGCGAGGATTACAGGTGTGAGCAACTGGCACCTGGCCTAAAAATATTTTTAAAAACTAACTTTAGCCTGGCACCAGTGACTCACACCTGTAATCCTAGCTACTCAGATGGCAGAGATCAGGAGGATTATGGTTCAAAGCTAGCCTAGGCAAATAGTCTTTGAGACTCTGTCTCTAAAATACCCAACTAAAAAGGCTGATGGAGTGACAAGTGATAGAGCACCTGCCTACCAAGCCTGAAAGGCCTTGAGTTCAAATGCCAGTACTGCAAAAAAAACCTGCCCAAACCTATAATTTGTATACCATAAGATTCCATATAACTCACTAGTTTTGGAGGAAATTTTAAGAGTTACTCAGCCATTATCGCAATACAGTTTGGAACATCGCACCTGTCCAAGAAAGTTCCTTTTGCTTGGTTTTAGTGGATCCTGCTCTCATTCCTCACCTCAGACAACCACTGATAAGCTTTGCATCACTACAGTATTCCTTATTTAGAAAGTTGAAATTCATGAAATTGTATAATATACTGTCTTATTTTTTGACTTCTTTTTCTTAGCATAATACTTTTGAGGTTCAACTATGTCAGTACATACTTTAGTATTTCATTCCTTCCTATTTCATAGGGTTTTTTTTTTTTTTTGAACCCAGGCCTCACACTACCCCTTGGGCCACTCCACCAGTCCTTTTGTGTGTATGTGTGTCTGTGTATCTGTGTGTTGGATTTTTTTCAAGATAGGGTCTCTCGAACTATTTGGCCAGACTGCCTTTGAATGGCAGTCCTCCTGATCTCTTGTCTCCTGAGTAGATAGGGTTATAGGTGTGAGCCACCTGCACCTGGCATCTTATTTATTTATTTATTTATTTTGCAGTACTGAGGTTTGAATTCAGAGGCTCACACTTGCTAGGCAGGCACTCTACCAGTTGAGCCATGCCACCAGCCCTTTTTTGTGTGACAGGCGTGAGCCACCAGCACCCAGCCTTATATTTAAAGTTTTTAACAGTGGAGTTTTTAGCATTATATTATACAAAATAATGGGTTTCATTATAACTGTTTCTTACATATGTATAATGTACTTTGAGCTTACTTACTCCCTCCTCCCAATTACCTTCTCTTATCCCCCTTCTCTCCTGCTGGTCTCCTGTAATTAAATTATTAAGAAACTGCCAAAGTTTCTTCCAAAGTGGCTGTGCCATTATATATTTCCACCAGTAGTGTTTAAGAGTTCTAGTTCTACCATCATAACAAACATTTGGCATTGCCAATTTTCTATTTTAACAATTATGGGTGTGTAGTGGTATCTTATTGTGTTTTTTTTTTAATTTTTTTTTTATTCATATGTGCATACAAGGCTTGGGTCATTTCTCCCTCTTATTGTGGTTTTAATCTGCTTTTATGAAAAGACTAATGCTTCTGGCATCTTTTTTTTTATATGCTTTTTGTATATCTTTTCTGGTGTAATACCTATTCAACTTTTGCATTTTAAAGTCAAGTCCTTTTATTGAGTTGGAAGAATTCTTTATATATTCTGAGTATAGTAGAGTATACTCTATGTTAAGCATCTTTTTTTATGTGCTGTCATTCTTGAACTTTCTTGAATATGGTGAACCATATTCAGATCTTTGCCCATTTTAAAATTGGTTTGTGGGCTGGTGGAGTGGTTCAGGTGATAGAGCACCTACCAAGCAAGTGCAAAGTCCTGTGTTCAAAAAAATTAAAGGATCCAACATTGTGTTGTTTACCTTAGTGAGATTTAAATGTGCTTTATAAACTGAATCAGAGTCATTTATCAGATAGTTGATTGGCAGATACTGTCTCCTAGTGTCTGGCTTATGTTTATCACTTTTTAGTGTTTTTTGTTTTTGTTTTTTTCAAGACAGGATTTCTATGTAGCCAAGGCTGGCCTGAAACTCATGATCCTCCTGCCTCAGCCTCTGAG